TGTCTATATCCAGCACTTTACCATATTTATTGCGTTGCCCTACTCCCTGTAACAGCTCTTAAAATATTTTATGCAACATTTATGCGCTGACAGCAGCTTTCACGTTTCCTGTATAACCTCAAGGGAATAATCTCTAACGAAAATTTATAGCCCAAACGATCCACGTATGCAACAATGTGCACTCTTCGAGAACGAGAGAGAACTCTGATGACAGGCTAACAAGGGCTTTTAACATACGATGCGTATGAAATACTTTATTTAGACACTTCAAATAGCTCTTATTCCATCGTGTGTGGCCGCGCGAAGACCACATATCGTACGTTCCGATCCTGCCATGTCGGAATTATACTACGTCTGTAGATTATACTCACAATCCTTAAAAGCAGAGTTCACGACAAAAATGGTTTCTGAGAGAATTTGAGGCCCCCACGTATACCATATCTGGTACTATTAGGTCGGATAAAAGGCCTAGTTAGGGAGCTATAAAGGCTCAAAGATTGGCCCGTGCGTATCCTCGGACGCGTTTCACCGGCACCGGCATTATAGAGGCTGCACCGATCACGAGGGAACCCATGTAAGGAGTTCAAACAACTTGTCATGACCCACAGCGGCAATGAAAGACAGTTCAGTACAGTTCTGGCTTGACGTAGTCAGCTTTTTGCGCAATTGCAATAACTGGAATCTCCTCTGAATACCTCTTCCATGTTATTACCGTCATGGCAATCTCGTCCAACCTCTACTTTCCCTCAACCTCTACTTTTAAAAAGCCACTATTACCCTCGAAATCCCGCTTTCTTCACTACCGATGGACTATTCCCAATCTATACTTCCACTTTTTGAGTGAAAACGGGTAACTCAAAATTATGGAGAACTTTGTCTTCAAGCAAATGTAGGAGAATCAATATTTAGATGCTGACATTGAGTTCACAGTTCTGCTCACACCACTTGATTGCTTTTGGCTTATGTAATGCTAAATCCCCGAGCTATGGTCTGTGGTGAATGGTTTCATGAAATAAGGAGCTTTTATGAGTCGAAGTTCCTATTGCTATGAATTTCTTATAAAGGGGTACCACGATTAGTGCACCTGTTATCCCAAAATGTATTGGTTACATGACAGTCGTACTTGTAGGGAAGTAGTGCTTGCAATTTAAATGAGCACACTATGAGCTTCAAGATATAAACAAACTATCAGCACCTAAAGGTTCAAGACTGAGTGCTTTAAAATTGCAGCGCTGGATACTGAACACATATTTCCCTTACAAATATCTGGTGTGCATTTGAATGACCATCCAAATAGAAATGTTTGGGAGACCCAAATATTCCTGTTCAAAGGGTGTTTAGAAGTAAAGAGGGCCAAAATCAGACAAGCCAGATCCATTGGGTAGGGGAGAGGAAGAAAGGCAACCAAAGTCCGTGACACATTGCAGGGAATACTCTCGGAAGACACCCTTTTCGAGAGTCAGGGACTTGCTTGCTGCGCAAGGGATTCAATTGCGATACGAAAGTGAACAAGTAGTTTTGAGTCTCCAGGATCTGTGTACGAAATAGCGCGGCCTCGATTTCACCATACCTCCACAGGAGGGCTTTTATATTAGCATGACGTCAAACTCTGTGAGGACGGCCGAGAGCTTGACAGCAGAGAAGAATCATCGATAGAATATGAAGACGAGAAATTCTCAAATTAGGACGTGTTTAAGCGCACTGCTGTCGCACTGTTGCTCATCACATTTCTTGAGATGAATAGCTACCCATGAGGCTGCAGTGCACTGTATTTCTTTTTCGGAAGTTCTGTGGTCCGCCTTTTCCGAAATTAAGGCTGCAGCCCATTTTGAAACTAGATTTACGCAATCTGGAGCCAAGTCATTTCCAGCACTTCTAGTTCCGGGCCACAGTGATCATCCGATCATACATGGTGCAGATTTGGCGAACTTACAAAATTCCAGAGAATCTTATTAAATATTGCGCACAGGCTAAAGCCTTCACTTGCAAGACCTGCCAAACGAGTCTGTTAGAGTGTTACCATCACAGAGTTGGGGGAATAGAAAAATAGGAAGATGAAAAGGATAACGACGAATTTTCTCAATTTCAGAGTGAAAATGTTTGTAATGAGTTATAACAGGCCCGAACTATAAGAGAAAGAAAATTGTGGACAATCCAGACCTTCTCTTTGGTCCTTGACGTGGCTTTTTGATGTGTTTATTGAAGAGATCTGCCATACTAGTTGCTTTGAGTAAAAGCTGATCATAATGTAACTTATTGATACATAGTGATACGCACTCTAAAGAACTGAAAGGATAGATAAGGATGTTCGATCAAAGTTGCGCTTTTACGATTTCACAACTGAAAGAATAGATAAGGATGTTCGATCAAAGATGCGCTTTTACGATTTCACAATGTATAGAATTACGTCTGCAGTTCAATAAATAAAACAGGACGTAAAAATAACAATAAGGGCTCTTGAAAAATGACTCTGATATTCCCTCTGTTCCGTAATTCGGGTCGAATCAGCAATACGCGTAGCTCTACGTCCACATTTGAGATTTCATAATATTATACAGTATCCTGTTTGTCATGTGAGCCGTTGTTTGCAAAATCCTTCGAATTTCATGCCCTCGTAACTACTTAACACCGACTCGCTCTTTGTTAATTTTCTTCGAATTTATGTCTCGTTCTTTCTTTATTCATTCTATTCTTTCTTCGATGAATATATGTTGGGGGTCTCTTGACCGACGGCTAGAGCGCAGAGAAGGAAGAGTAGCCGAGCCCGTTGCGGTGCCTGCTTAGGAACGTTTCATATAGCAATTTTATGTTAGAAATATGTTTTTACCCAAGCCTGAGAAAGGAATGAGCTTCGGGTGGGTGAGCCCTAATTGGATTTTTAATCCTTACCTCAGCTTTTTGCACGAAATAACCATTTCACCCACCTGAAGCTCCTCCGTTTCTTAAAATTAGGTAAAACAATATTCTTTCGGCTGAAAAGCCTCTCTAATAGTAAGAAGTAAAGTCGGCTACCCCTCCTTCTCTGCGCTCTAGCCATCAGCGATTCAAAAGAGGGGCGCTGCCCTCCCCCACCCCTACTGCTTTTTCATCCTATTGTTTTTTTGTGTTTCTCATCTTTTCATTTATGACACCCTATAGAAGCTGCACAATTTTTGTGCAATGTTAGGCAACTGCTGCACAAAACTTAACTATTGATTGTTGCATCGTAAGCGTGATGAATATTTTCCTTTTTTAGTAAGCATTCGACTTTCAAGAAGGTTTTAATATTGTTGGACGTGTGTGTCGATGGCACGGATGGGCTCAGTGCGACGTGTAGCTGAGTAAATTCGGCTTTTTGATCTTTATTTGAGCTGATTAAGCTTTTTTTCTCTTTATTCATCGTATGTTCGGTTTATTCTTTTGTTTTTTATGGTGTTGTATATTTCCACACCGCTCGCAGCTCTGCAAATGGCGTGCTAATAGCAACAACCGTATCACTGCACTTACTTTTTACAATTTCATAGACTGACCAGGGTGATTCGCACGGGGTTTATGTCAACAGATCCGCTCTCGTCCGCTTTTTGCCGCTTTTTTTTGGTATTGGTTGTCTAGTTCGTTTTTCATGCTAGGCTTTTCTTCTTCCAATTTGCACTTTAATCATCTATTTCTCAAGGGCACGTCCACAAAATGAAGGTATGCGCATCTAGTTTCAATTAAGAGAACTTTCACCTCCACCAACTAATTAATCGTTGAACTGCCTGAAGCACTCCGCCGAACTGATAGAGGCTCTATAAGTTAAAAATTTCGTATCATTCCGAAATGTTAGCAAAGGGGAAGAAGAAAAAAGGAAAAAAACTTCGTGTGAACATAAATTGTGCAACCCTATCGTGCATCAATATCAACGTGTCGGCGAAATTAGTCCGTTAGCAATGCATGCATGGGGGAGCATATTATTAGTTTTCAACTTTTTTTATTCGAAACAATACAGAAACACTGACATTGAAACCTTAACACAAGATTGAGCACTAAAGCATCACTGGGGAATACTTTTAAAACAAGGCATATTTTTTTCCAGAGAGGGAGAAGCGGATACGGCTAATAGAACTAGTAGAAGATGAACAGGCAGGGCGAGACAGAGAGAACCGCAGCGGTGGGGTCCCGTCAAAGAGGGAAGTAAGATCAAAGCACCGATGGGTCGAGGATGATCAGAGTACTGTAGGTGATCAGTAGTGATCAGGATTTAGGAGGGTAGCAAGGGTAAACATGCCTTAGGAAAGAAAAGGCGCGGAATAGACCGTATGAAGAGAGATCTTCGAGAGGAGGAGTGCGTCAATTGTGTTTCCTCCATCTCCCGCCGTCAGTGCCCCCACGGAGTTGACTCCGTGAGGGCACTGACGATTAGACCAGAGCAGACCCTCGGTGACGACCAGACCAGAGCAGACCCTCTCAGGCGAACCTCTGTG